TTTTTTCACTGTATAGTCTGGATATTAACCCCTTGTTGGATGTATAGTTTGTAAATATTTTCTCCCATTCCATAGGTTATCTTTTTGCTCTGTTGATTGTTCCCTTTGCTGTGCAGAAGCTATTTAATTTGACATAGTCCCATTTATTTATTTTTTCCTTCAGTTGCCTGTGCTTTTTGAGTCACATTCACAAAGTCTTTGCCAAGTCCTACTTCCTGGAGTGTTTCCCCTATGTTGTCCTTAAGTAATTTTATGGTTTCAGGTCTTATATTTGTCTTCAATCCATTTTGAGTTGATTTAGGTATATGGTGAGAGGTGCGGGTCCAATTTCATTCTTATGCATATGGATGTCCACTTTTCCCAGCACCAATTATTGAAGACGCAGTCTTTTCTCCAGTGTATATTCTTGTTGCCTTTGTCAAAGCTCAGATGGCTGTAAGTATGTGGATTGATTCCTGTGTTTTTTATTCCATTCCATTGATCTGATTGTTTTTATGCCAGTACCATGCTGTTTTGGTTATAATACCTTTGTAATATAATTTGAAGTCAGGTAGTGTTATGCTTCAAACTTTATTTTTTTGCTCAGAATTGCTTTGGCTATTTGGGGTCTTTTGTTGTTCCATATGAATGNTGAATGTTAGGATTGCTTTTTCTATTTCTGTGAAGAATGTCATTGGTATTTTAATGGGAATTGCATTGAATATGTAGATTGCTTTGGGTAGAATGGACATTTTCACAATGTTAATTTTTCCCATCCAAGAGCATGGTATGTCTTTCCATCTTTTTGTGTCTTCTTTAATTTCTTTCCACAGTGTTTTGTAGTTCTCATTGTAGAGATCATTCTCCTCCTTTGTTAAACTGATTCCTAGGTATTATTTTTTTTTTTTAGCAACTATTGTAAATGGGCTTGCTTTCTTGATTTCTTTTTCTGCTAGTTCATTCACCAAAACCATGTTGGGATATCATCTCACCCCAGTTAGACTGGCCATTATTAAAAATACTGTGAATAACAAATGCTGGAGAGGATGCAGGGAAAGGAGAACATTTCTATACTGTTGGTGGGAATGTGAATTAGCACAGCCACTATGGAAAACAGTATGGAGGTTCCTCAAACAACTACAGAGAGAGCTACCATACGATCCAGCAGCCTCACTAGTGGGCGTATATCCAAATGAATGGAAATCGTCATGTTGAAGGGACACCTGCACTCCCATGTTTATTGCAGCTCTGTTTACAATAGCCAAGAGTTGGAACCAACCTAAGTGTCCATTGACAGATGACTGGATAAGGAAATTGATGTATATATACACAATGGAATACTACTTAGCCATAAAAAAGAATGAAGTTCTACAACTTGCACCAAATTGGATGAGTCTGTAGAAAATTATGTTGAAATAAGCCAGACAAGGAAAGAAAAATACTACATGTTGTCACTCATAACTGGGTGTTAAGAAAAAAAGAAATAAAGAAGGAAAGAAGGCAGGAACAGAGA